GGTTCACCCGTGGATATGAATGTTGATCATGTCAACCATAAAGAGAATTTTTCACGTGCACTGAACATAAACATTGGTGACCAAAAAAACACGGTGACTGTTATTGGTTGTGCTAACGCTTGCCCTGATATTTATGGTTGCCACACCCCAGGTACGGGAGATTTTCATAATCGCGGATACCTTAATGAGACAGTGGCCAGAATAGGAGGGCAAGGAGGTTTTTGGCATGTTGTCGAAAACGTTATGAAGAGACCAACAGTTAACCCGACGTCCTTCAAGCAAAAATTCAAGGACAACAATTATAACAATAACGAGGAGGCACTATACGACTACGAGGACGGATTGAGTATCGCTATGATTAAAGAATTTGAAAAATCCTCCTTTTTTCCAAGTAAGTCCGATCTGGCTTCTTGTCTTCTTAAAACTGGTAACCACAATAACGTTTTATTGTCAAAGTTTAAAGAGTGGCAGGAAAGCTCAAAAGGAGACGCGATATTTAACTACCAAGTAAATCTTGTAAATGATCTTATTCCACTAAGCCGATGGTACAAAGAATCGATTAGAAATGGTAATGGTCACGCAATCGAGGCTGTGTGGATGCTCTGTCCCGAGTTATATGCCCAAATAGGAAAGACAAACTATAGGGATGAAAGCTTAATTCATATTGTAAATTTCGCTACTAAATGGCCATTAGCTTACAGAAAACTGTTTCAGAGAAATAGAACAGTAAATATAGAAGGAATACAAGGGAAACAACTCGCAGATGACGAGTGGGTTGAAGACCATCTTGTTTACCCAGTGAAAAAGTATGCCAAAGGCCAAACGTCGTTCTCCGTTTTAGAAATGATGTCATGCAGTTCAAATTTGTTGGAGCTGGATAGAAAGATGTATAAATCCCGCGAGGCGTTCAACATTCACAGAACAAGAAGGCACTGTACACCCCCGTCACTGTATGACCAACTAAAGGTAGCCCAGTTTGCTTCAAAGGAAGAGTGGTTTGTGGATAAAGGCCATCCTGTGGTTTATAAATACGCTTGGGGTGAGAATACGTTAAAGGGAGGAGAAGCAGTTTCATCCAGATCCATTGACGCTAGAACGAAGGGAAAAGAAAAACTACAGTTAGAATTTCTTTCCTTTCTTCACAGAAAATTCCCAAATGAAATGAAGTAGTGCATAAATAACTATATGGACTGATGGGTCGGCCTTTTTCAAGGTTTTGCTCAATTATTAGAGGTTCATATTATTTTACAGAACGTAGACAACGAATAGACAGTTCTATTAATACAATAACTTCATATTAACAAAAATTTAAGTAGTTTTGATTTCTTGGGTTACACCCATTGCTTAGAGGGTGTTGATATGGTTTATAATAGAGCTGAAAAAATTATACTGTGTTGTTTATGAAATTTTATGCATATAATACAAATGCATTACAAGCATAAATGTGTCAAATGATGGCGTTTAAGGAGGCATTCTTAAAAAGGGAAAGGTGTGCAATACAAAAAAGGGTTTTTAAAATCCCTATCCCATATTATAATATACCAAGAAAAGCCAATGGTCTTGATATATTTTTCAGGCAGTTTGATCATACAACCCTCAAGCATTTCCTTTTATATATAAAGTGTACATGATGTACATGTGCCTAAAGTTTTTCATACTTTGGGACATATACAGTAGAAGCCAACAGGTTATGTGCATTTGGTCCTAGACAAATGGATATGGATACACTATTTTTCTTTGTTTCTACAGTTTCTGACAAAATATCTTTGTAAATAAGTAAGTGTATGAATTTCTCAAGAAGGATAACAGGAACAAATTGCTTGCTCAGCACACCAAAGTTTAAAAAGCTGTCCAGGTTACTTTCTAGGATACATTTCTGCCTACTTCCAGCCAAAAACAACTTAAGAGTGTTTCCACTTAATTTCTTGCCTGTAAGTTCAATTACTGCCCGAATAACGTTTAAGGCATCTGTTGTTCCATCAGCTGTTACATACTTTCCCCTGCTGCGGCAGTTATCACAACTTGTGTTACATGTAAAACCATCACATTTTTCACCATAATATGTTCTAATTATTTTATGTCTGCATTGTACAGGGTCTTCAAGACAAATGACAATATCACTAAGTGCCTTGTACTGCTGGTCAAAATTATCATGGTGCTTGAACATGCTAATTAAAGCAGTTCTATCACTATAATTGTAATATATGCAGCAGGTTGCAGGTTCTCCATCACGGCCAGCCCTTCCAACTTGTTGGTAATAATCATCAATACTGGTTGGCAACTTGACATGGACAACATATCGAACGTCTCGTTTATCGATGCCCATACCAAAAGAAGAATTTGCAATGATTACATTTACTTCACCACTAATCCATTTTGAAAAGCTTGACTCCTTTACACTCTCAGACAACTTACCATGATATTTCACACAGTTCAAACCTCGTTTCACTAGTTCAGAGTGGATTTTAGTGACATCATTTGAGAGAACACAATATATTATGCCACAGGATGCTTGATCTTTTATGTATGAATACAACTCGTCATAAAACTTGGTATTACATTGCCGATCCTTAACTTCAATGAAAAGATTATTCCGGAATACTGTTTCTCGCAGAACTGTTACACTTCCAAACATTTCTTTCAGAACTGCCACTTGAAACTCTGGAACTGTCGCACTCAACAAAAGTTTTGGACATTCAAGACCACTCAGTTTCTGACATACAACCTTATATACTGGTCTAAATGTATCGCCCCAAGATGATATTGTGTGGGCTTCATCAAAAACAAGTCTTTCAATCTCAATAGTTTCAAATTTCTCCTTGAGACATCCTTCATACAGCATTTCTGGTGTTGTAAAAATAAGTTTAAATTGTGGTAATTTGTCTAACTGTTCATTTTGGACAGTCAACGGTACACTTCCAGTGAATTTGCAACAGGAAATATTTAAATCTTGGCAACGAATCACAAGGTCATCAATAAGGCTTTTTGTAGGTGAAACAACAAGCGTTGGCCGGGATGCAAGCACAGCTGGTAGCATAAAAGTCAATGATTTCCCACTGCCCGTTCCCAAAACTCCAAGAACATTTTCTCTTCTCAATGTTGCAGTAATTATTTCTTTCTGAAGTGGTCTAAAGTTATCGAATCCAAAATAATCGTTAAGTGTCCTGTTTAATAGCTCCTCTAAGTCATTTGAAATAGTGTTCACGCATTGGTCCAAATTGTTTATATCAGCAGCTGGTTCTGATCTGACTTTCTCGCCGAGTTGACTTGCTGAAGTATTATTTTCACGTTCCACATTTTCGTCGGCTCTCCCAGCGAATAAAGACTTAACAACTATCAGGTCTTTGAATTCTCCTTCATTAAAAAGATCGTAATAAAAAATTCGACCTTCTTCGTCCTCGCAAACGAACGAAACGGATTTTGTGTTCGAGTCTATAAAGCCAAAATAGCATAAACCATATCCAAAACTAACTGCCGCCTCGAATTCTGAACTCGCTTGTACAACAATGTTTACTCCCTGCCCATTTAATACGAAAGACTTTACATTTTCAGGGTCAAGAGGAAGAATTGATTTAAGTTTATCAGACAGCTTCTGAATTTTGCTTTCGCACTCTTCAAACGTCGCCATTTTGTGATAAACAATACTATACTATGGGGGGAAGGGTGAAGTACAAAGTCCTGTAGGTGAAGTACCCGGTACATAAGGCTCCCAATATGGCAGGCAACTCCGCCTTTTCTCCTCGCCTCACTTTTCCCCCAATTTTCCCTCTTTATCCCTCAACTATCCCTTACTGTAACTATCAAATCAACTATCCCTGACTATCCCTCATGTGTTTCAAGAGTTGCCTGCGGAGGAGGCTACAGTTTGACTTAATTTAATTAAAGAATCTATCAAAGTTTCAAATTCTCGATCTGCCAGTTTTGATAGTAAATTACTGATCATTCAAGAGGGCCCCCTATACCTCTTCATAATATGCTTTCACGTAAAAATATTTTGCCTTTTCACGAGTCACAGATTAAGAAAATCATCGATCACGTTTCACGGCTAAGTAAAATAAGCCCTTCACGCTTCACGCAAAAATTATAGGGGGCCCGATCACGTTTCACGGCTAAGTAAAATAAGCCTTTCACCCTTCACGCAAAAAGTATAGGGGGCCCTCTTCAAATCTCTCTCAAAATTTGCAAAGATAGAACGCAGTCATGGCTCCTAGCTTGTTTAATGGTTAGATTAGCCAGCAGCGGAGTTGGTCCTTGAACGGTGGGCCGAGTTGGTTAGTGGGCCGAGTTGACTGCAAACCCTTTCAATCTAACAGAAACGTGAAGTGGGAAATCGCAAGGAAATGAACACTAAATCCAAGTGAGTAGTTATGATTTTTTTGAGCAGGTTTTTGAATGAAAATACGTGGCATGTTTTCATGAAATTCAATATAGCATTAAAGTAAGTTCAATCTAGTTTAAAACTAAGTTTTTAGAAGACCTTTTTGTGCATTTATGGCATGATTTCGACTGTTTTCGTGACCCTACTGTTGGTCTTCTTGCTCAAGTTGTTATTTTAGCCAAAGTACTTTCAGAAGACAGTAGGTTCAACCTGTCATGTGCGTATATACATTTTTGGCAAGAAAAATTTTGAGTAAAACCGCATTAAAACTAAGTAGAATATTCTACAATGAATACTATACCTGTTTCTATAAATGTTGTCTTGAAACGAGCTCTCATTTCAGAGATAATGTGGTTTAAAATCAGTGTGTTGAATTATGCCGTTACTTGGCACGTGCGAATTCTGAACCTTCATGACAGGGATTTGAAAAGCTTCCAAAATACTCTTTATTGCTTCATATATCCCAATAAAATTTTTAAATCAATAAAATTTTTAAATCAATAAAGCACATCATAAAATTAATGCATGCTCATTTTCTAAGAAGTAGTCATCGATTACCTGAAGGAAAGTCCTAAAATAGGTCAGGACAGTGATTTACAAAATGCCATTCTTCTCTGAAATGGCTTCTTTTGCGGGAAGCCATTAAAGTTGTAATTTAGTCGCTTTCTTGGTCTCATTGTTCACTTATTTATCATGGAATTACTTCACTTGAGCTCTTTTAATAATATCTGCAAGATACTTTGCTATTTGGTGAAATAAAAGCTATATTTTTAGCAGTTTACTTTTGAAAACTGCATGCGCAACAAAGTGTCACCAGTGTGTTTACTCTTGTCTGACAAACAACCAAAGATGAAATATTTTATTTCACTCTTTTACAGCAATCTAAAATGCCTAAATATTAGATTATTCATTTTATTTGAGCATACACAAACGAGAGCATAATATTTCAAACTAGAGTCAGATTTCAAAAGAAACCGTATTTCAAACTAGAGTCAGATTTCAAAAGAAACCGCCTGTCTGACATTTTACAGCAACCTACATTGGCGCGCACAATGTTCTTACCTTAAACTTACTTTAAAATTCTTACCTGATGAATATTCAAAAGTGTTTATTTATCTCTTTTTGACGACTTTCAGTGCTCTTAATAGCGAAATAAAAAGCCTTTTGTTTTGTCACCGCACGCTGCATTTGAAAATGCCGGCTATCAAAGTCTGAATTAAAAACACCTCAAATATTTTAAATTTTTCTCACCTTTTTCATCCTTTGTTTATATCTTAATTAGTAATTTTTGTACTTTGTGTTTTTCCAAACATATTTGAGGTATTTAGAAACTTCAAAGAGGTACAAACACTGCGTTTTTGGGTTACAGAGTTTTTGGACTTGAACAACAAGTTCTGAAGTTGAAGTTCTCCATTGTAAACTAGATGTCCTGAGTGTGCCTGAGCTATGCCCAAGCAAATTTTTATAGTGTTTGATTATTTTGTAATTTATACCCTACAAGATGAAAACTAATTTGAATATAAATGTGTACCAATCCAGGAATCAAAAAATATTTGGCCATTTATGTTGGGTTATGGAATTATTACCCTTCAGATGTTGGGCGTGTGAGAAGTGTGGGAGCTCATTTAAAATACAGTTGATTAGTCATTTATCATGTTAACCCACTGCCAAATTTCAAGGTTTTTTATAACATTGATCTTGAGATATAGGTATTTTTGTAAAAGCAGTTGACAGAAGTTGACAGTAACTAAAATTTGCCATTTTCCTTACAACTTGGGGAGTGCCAATGTTGCAACAGTCTGCAACTTAATGAGTTAAACCTAATAAAACACTCCTGCTCATTTATTAAACAGTACATAAGATATTGCAATCTCTCATTAGATTATAGTGATGGGTGATTAACGATTACTTGGTATCGATATCGCCCGATACCAGGCCCAAATCGGAAGTAGTCAATACTGCATGGTATCGAAAAAGTGTTTCGATTACTTTTAAAATTAGACATTCATTATAATCCTGTAGTTGTGTCATCGTTTTCATCGCTATTTCTAATAAAATTAACGTACTTTTTTGTATTTTGCTGCATTTATCAATTTAATCAAACTTCCTTTACTCTATTTGACATATTATCCACTTCCCTGATTAATATTCCTGACCTCGTAGGCGGGAAATAAATTTTTTTTTTTTTTTTTGTGGATTATAATGGCGGAAAATTCTGAAATACAATCGTCTGCATAGTAATCGTTTGGGTAATCGATACTTTTACGAAAAAGTAATCGGTATCGAATCTATACTGGTGGTATCGCCCATCACTATCAGGCCGTGAGACCTCATTAACATACATGTGACAATTTAAAGCTAATGCAAATTTTACATAAAATCTAAACGCTGCAGAGCTGCACTGTAGATTTATTATGCATAATTGCATATGGAATCAGGTTCTGAAGATTAGCAAAGGTTAGTACAAATGCAAAATGTTAAAAAGAGATACAAGCAAAAAATTTATGATGGTTGGCTTACAGAAGTAAAATATTGGATTGAAACGAAATGTGAAGGCAAAAATGGTGGTGGTATGCCTTTCTGTAAAGTATGCAAGGTTAAATTATCATGCTTGAAAACTGCATTGTCCAGGCATATGTGGAAGGGAAAAAACACCTACAGCTATTTAAAAATGCATGTAGATCTGATATAGTCTCATACACATATTGTAATGTTCATGAATGGTTCATTGCATGATGCAGCAGAAAAAGTCGAAATTAAACTATCTAGTTTTATTGTAGATACTACCTTCCAATCAATTTGAGTGAAGATTTGTTAGCCCTGTTATCGAGTTTGTTGTCAAGTTTGTTGTTGCAAAAAAGCGACTTTAGGTAGGGATAGCAGCCAAAATTTCAGATTTACAGGGGGGCTCCGCAGTAGGCTAGTTTGATAGAGCTCATGATTTAAAACATAATGGTGTTTGTTTCATCAAAATCGGTCAAGGCAATCAAAAGTTATGACAATTTGAATATCGGAATTTTAGTCCATTTTAAGCTGATTTTTTAACATATAAGGTCATAACTTCTAGACATTTCATCCGATCACCACAATATTTTCAGAGTACATTGGTAACATACACAGCAACAACATTAATGAAAAACCATTACAAAAGTGTTGTATGGCATGTTATACATCAAATAAGTAACACTACTTGATAAAATGTTACAAAACTGCATTACCATGGAAATATGATAACGTCATAACAACGTCATAGCTATAAACAATATGCTCTAAAATACATAATTTGCCTGCATTTTTCATCACAAAACATTAATTTATAAAAACTACGTGTGTCGGATAGCATTACAAGCTCAACAATACCACAGACAACACCGTTCAGTTACCATGTGACGTCATTTTTATATACATTCTAATTGGAAAATTTTGTGTATCGTTGCTCAAAATTTACTAAACTGCTTATTGAAATATTTTGATAGTTTCATTATTGTACACCTTACAATCCTAAAAACTCATTACATAGACTGTTTCCATGACGACGCTACAAATCCGATGACGTTTCAATTACGTCACTGATGATGTCATGCTATTGATAAATTTCTCATTTTGAGGAGGAGATCAATTATTTTTCAAGAAACATATTATTTACTGTAACACCAGTTTATCAATCAAAGATACAATTTCGACAACACAAACTCCTGAGCTGTATATCAAGCTGGACTGCTTGTTCATTTATTGGTCTATTTTCTACATACTGTCTCATTTAAAGAAAGCCATACAGGTTGAATGCATTGACAATTCTAATCCATGGTGTACTTTAAGTTGATAATGTATACCATAAGAATGAAAAATAAAAGATTAGTCATCAGTTGAACCAATTAAAATTTCCCATTCACCCTGAACAGTTCCGTTTACAGATGGGTTTTCAGCACATTATTCATTACCTGTTACTAGCTCTTAATTTGGTTGCATCATAGCCAATGAAAGTCTAAAATGAAAAAGAACACAAATTATGATATGCACTAATTAAATTTCTACAGCAATTACCATCATTTATTCTTTCATTCATGATTTTCAGCACACTTTACAAGTTACTCTTAAAGAAAATCAAGACCTAAAATTAGAAAAGAAAGAATATTATTGATTATCCGTAAATTATCAATTAGTGTATCATTTGTTGGCTCAGGCCTGAGCTGAAGATTGCCAGATGAAATTCTATTAATAAAATAGGATTTCAAGAGGCATTCCTCCCTCCTATAGTTGGAACATTTTCATTTTGTTGGCCATCCTTTCACTTTGCAGATATTTTATCATTGTTAGTTGGACCGTCTCTTTTCCTCTAGCTTTTTCCACTTCTTTGCTGGCTCGTTGTTTGTATAGTTCTTTTTGCTCCAACATTTTCTCATGTGAGATGAGCTTTTGACCAACCTGAGTAACTTGAGGGTTTTCAGGCTCGGTCACCTTTTTGCTACAATCCTGGCCAAAACTCATGTGGACACTTAATCCACTTTTGCAAAAATCATAACAAACACAGTTCGGACTTGAATTATACACAATTTCTGCATTGAAATGTAACGATTTATTCTTAGGGAACTACCTATACATATTATACTTGTTACTAAAATGTTTTCGTAATTTACACTGTAGAGAAATAAAAAGTTACCACGGTCTACATATTAAAAGTAGCTCTTTGAATATAATAGATCATAGCTCATTAGTATTCATGAAAATACGATTTTTGGGTGTAGACCGTGGCGATTTTTAAGGCATAGCTGATTTTATATGTTTTGCTGCATACTGGTGCAAAACGTAATTGGACAAGCCTTTTAATCTATATTTTTAATCGATTGCCGCTTATATACTTCTAAAATCACTGCAAAAAAAGTGTAGACTGTGTTTCGAGCTTTGAATATTATGTTACACATTACGTCATCCGATCGGAAAGTATAACATATCAACTTAACAATTATAGCAAAGCCCTGTAACTTAATATATAATTCAGATGTTTAGTTCCTGCCTTAAATCATGTATAGTTTTTTGTCAAGCTTTGTATTCAGCAAGTTTTAGATGCACCTTGAAACTGCACTGTCAGAAGGAAGCTGTAATATATAGTTAAAACAGACAAACGTACTGGCATATATTGTAAGTAGCAAGACTTGCAGTTAACGAATTATAATACTTGTATGAAAAATGCCATTTAGTTGTATAAATTTGATTCTCAAGCACTTCAAGAATGCATAAACAAACTTTGAACTATATATATTCCTGTCATTCTCGTCGCATAATTATTCCTAAAAATTTCGCATAATTATTCCTAAAAATCGTGGGCGCGTTTTTTGGTTAGGAAATCTGTTCCTTACCGGACAATTTTTTTTCAAAAGATGATCAGAAATGGGTTACTTAGATGCAAACAAGCGCAATTTTACTTACAAAGCATATTTTTTTCCGTTTTGTGTCATATTAGATACAAGAACCGCCTATTATTTTCTATAGTGATTTTCAGACAATCCTGGCCAAAACTCATGTGGACACTTAATCCACTTTTGCAAAAATCGTAACAAACACCTAAAACTTGAATTTACTTGCACATCCCCCACTCCCCATCTTCAATGTTGCATATCCAACTTAACCACACTTCGTATTTGATGAAAAATCCCATTCAACATTGGCTTGGGGGAGCGGGGGGATAATTATTTAGAAAAAACACTGTGGGTTGTCCACAACGTTTTGTCCAGGATTGTATCTTCGATGGATTGACGAATTATTTCTTTAGGATTACTGACCAGCACTTGACTGCTAAATGCTTTACCCTCAAATGACATTTGAAACACTTTTTTATCTTTATGCTTTGCCCCGAGCACTACCTTTTGGAACTGGATCTGGGTTTTGATGGCAATTTTCTTGTCTTTTTCCTTGCTTATTTTGGCAATCTGCTCACCAACCTCTGTGTCTGTTTTCCACATTCTGAACTAAATTTTGCTTTAGCATTCTTAACTTGGTTTCTTTTCTCTCTTTTTCTTGTTTTCCTTTCTCAAGCTTTTCTTCTCTCCTTTTTCTAATTATTGCCTTTCGCTCAATGAATTGCTGTCGCTGACTTGCCTTTGAATTTCGTGCCATTTTCATAACTGCCTTTCTCTTCTCTGGCATAAGTGAATCTCTCCAACCTTTGGTATCATTCTTTGTGAACATCAAAATGCATTCGAAGACCAAGGTTGTTGCATTTGACTTTTGTGCAAGAAGACAATCCAACATTCCGAAATCTCGTTCTGGAACAACATTTGTCTTAGGAGCATTCTTGCATTCATCTTGCATTTCGACATCGAGTTTGTCGTACTTACCACCCTCCAGGTGATCAGTCAACACTCGCTTTGTTACAACAACAAATTATCCAAATATCAACTTGGGGACTTGCTTTGTCATTGGATCCCAATCAGGGTCTTCTTTGATGAGCTTCTCATAGCACAAATCTTTCTTCAGATTGACATCATCAAACACCACAGGTTCACCTGTGAGTACAGGAGTGGAGTCTTGTGCCCATTCTTCAAAGCACTCCAACAGTCGCTGGTATCGAGCACTCATATCCATGAAACTTACATCTTCCTTTTCAAGGTCTCTCCACAATGGACCTGTAATAAATTTGTTTATCAATCCCAGGGCCCTGCCCCTGCTAAAAGGAAGAAACTTCTAAGTCATAATAAATTGCCTTCAGCAGTTTGTTTTCATCCTTCATCATATCAAAGAATGGTCTAAGGTGTTCATGCAGATAAAATACACCACCACCATTATGAAATATGATATTAAATCTATTTCCTAGAAATGGTGCAAGGGGCATTGAATCAATGCCATTCTCTCTGGCGTGGTCAGCAAAGGATACCACTCTTCCGGACCGCTTGCATCCTTTGGCCTGAACAGCTTTGCAAACTGTTTGAAGTAAACAGAGGGTGCCACTTTCTCCTCCTTTACTATACCCACCTTGGCTCAAGTTTCCAATCTTTGTTTCATCATACAGGAGCTTGTCCCACACTCTTAAAGCCTCCTCTGCTTGGTCATCAAGTCCAACAATGTAATGTAGGCCACAGAATAGATCATTAATTCTCAAGACCTTGCACTTCTTATCATCATCCATAATATCCCACTCTTCCACAACTTCAGGCAGGATGGATTATGTCTGGAGAATCTCATTGAATTTCTTTTGGACAATGCAGTGGTCCGACATCAAATTCTTTATGGACTTCATCACCTTTTTATCTGCATTTTCATCCTCGACTGAGCTGATAATGTAACCTAAAACTTCTTTCAATAAATTTAGTTGAGATTCAGTGTCACCACACGCCATGTCCCGCAGCCCAGCTACCATGACATTACCATCATCTAAAGTCACATCAAATGTGGCATAGTGGTAACCATGCTTAGAAGTACCATCACTATGCAGGGTGCGGTTACCTGAATCCCACTCATCAAGCAGCTGTTCTGCTACTTGAATCTGAGAAAGACACCTAGCTTCTAAATACATATATCTAGCAAAAGTGGCCTTGGGGAGTCACTTGCATTCTAAACCTGCAAGGTTCTCTATGACAGTTCTAACCACTTTTTGAACATTTTCTACTCCTACTCCCCAACACAAGAGGTCTTCATATACTGCCCTGACCTCATCGGTATACTTACCATTCTGGAATGTTTTTACCATTTGGGTTTTTAGAAAGTCTTGAATATATTCCTGCAAAATTTCAACTTCATTTTCAAGCTCGGCAATATGAGATTTTAATTCTGAAATTTTCTCGGCAATATGAATTTTTAATTATGAAAGGACCTTCTGACATACTGCTTTGATTTTATAATATGACTTTAATTTCTGTGCCTTGGTCTTGGTTTCAAGTGCAGAATCCAATCTTTCATTTAACCATTGAATTGTTTTATCTTTTCTATCAATTACATTCATATATATATTTTTGCTTGTGCTTGCAAGTCGGTCTCTTTTTTCTCGATTTCTACTTGTTGAAGTGTTGTCATTTCTTTTTAACTTCTCATTGGTAACTCTTTGTTAACATTCCGAGCTGAAACCTTGCTTAATTTCTCCATTGCGTCTTGCAATTTCTTCGATGTCTCCTCATGTTTGCCTTGCATTTCATGACGATTGGATTGCAACCTATTAACTTCATTTGCTTTTGCAATATCTATCTCATTTTGCTCCTTAACAAGTTGACTTAACATTTTAACTTCTGAACAGAAGTACTTCAATTTCTCTCGCTTGCTGATCTAAGAACATTTGGTATTGGACTGCAGGATCATTTTGTACCGATTCTATACTCTTCTTCTGAGGCAATAAGAACTCTTTAGCTAAATACTCTTCACATAACTTCTTTTTCTTGTGAAAAACTAACTCACGCTTATGATCAGCCGCACGTTCAATGGCTACGTGTACACTGTCTACTGTCTCAAAACTATGGTTATTACTTAAAACACGTAGCCAAGTTAGGATGTCAACCCATGATTTTCCCATCCGCTCCCTTGTTTCATCTAACTCGATTACCAACTTATTAGTTAAAAATACAACAGGGGTCTTACCAACACGCTGCTGTTTTCCATTCAACAGTATATCATGCAATACCTGGTCAGTAATTCCAAGTCTCAGACACTCATCGCCAACAGATGCCTGCTTGTGCTTTTTATAGAGCTGTAAAATAACTGTACAACTACCCTTTTGGGTGTTTCGCAAGCATATTGACTACCTTTCTTTTAAGGTTTTTTATATGCGCAGAGATAATTATATTAGGGTCAAGCACATGAAGGCTTCTTTTCACCCTTTCCTCCTGGTTGCCCTCCAAACTATAGGTTGTTTCAATGGTTTTATTAAATAAACAACAACATATTTTATGATTACCTTTCCACCACTCAGGTTTTTCATTGTTTTTAAGCAAGGCAATCAAATTTTCTTTATTCCAATTTTGACAGTCCCATGAGCACATGTCCATGCCCGCCATTAGCGAACTTGCAAAATTACCTAAATTCAAATGAATTTCCACAAGTGAGCTCGATCGTTAAACAAAACAAATTATATATCAAAAGAAACCTTAAAATATATAGTTTATGTACATACCTGTTGTTGTAGACATTTTGCTTTAAATCGAGTCGTATCTTGCTTTTCAAAATTGACTTTTCAAATACAAAGTCATCAGCTCAAAAAGTTGAAGAACAACAGTTCAGAAGAATCTCCAGGCTTTAAACTTTAAGGTAGTGCTATTTTAAACCTGCATTCAGGTCGGGCTCACGTGTGGAAAATCGCTTGAAGAGGGACGGGTAGGTGAGTAAATGCGTGCCGTGTGATTTTAATGGTGGCGAAATTGCAAATATGCCCGAACTTTGATGCCTCGTAACAAAATAACTACGGTACTTCAGAGATCTACTTTGTAGAAAGATTAATTTTAAAATTATGTGTTTGCTCTCTTTTGCATAATAACACGCTAAAGGTAGCATATTTGAGAAAATATTAACTGGAAATTTAAGCTGTTCCAATGCGTAACCGACTTCCGGTTGCGATCCCTACTTTAGGAAAACATTTTGTTCATCATTTTAGTACTTCCAATGCCATCATAGATCCTAAAAACTATGGGACGAAAATCATAATCTTCACATATTTTATGGCCATTCAATTCATGCCCATTCAATTTTTGGTATCACAAATATTGTAAATGCAGCATTGAAAACAGATGTCAAGGGATAATAATGACTGAGTAATAAAAAAACATCGCAATGGCTTGTTGCAGCTGGCAGAAAAACACTTTGCATAACAATATATAGCGAGTAAGTGCTTTCCACTCACTAGAATTTACCCAAATTAAAAAATTTCAAACCTTCACACTTGCCTATACCCCAGCCCCATAATTTACATTTTTTTATATAATCAAACGTTTAAATCCAGCATTTCAAACACATTTTTATACAGGAATTTTATACAAAAAATCATACGTCAACATCGATTAAATGAACGCCAACTTTAGTACAGAACATACGACCTCGTACAACATTTCTGATTTATTTTTTAAGCTCTGCTTTAATATTTGTATCTTGAGTCTTGTTTAGAAAAAATTGTACAATTTGTATTTTGGTTATTAAGCTGTTCTTTATCTTAATTTTTATACTGTTTGAGTGGTAAAAGGTTTTAATTAATTGAGCTTTCTTCATCATTCATGTAGTTGAAAACATCAAAAAATCAAAATGATGTGGATGCATTTTTGGCAGAAGTGAGTGGAGATTTGATATTGATAGTCTACCTCAAACCCTATCAAAGGAGCAAAAAGATATTTTCATTGACGAAGTAACCAAATATTTTTTGGTCATAAAATGCCAACGAATGCTGAACCAGCTCATTGATGACCTTAAATATTATGATGTAAGTGTTTCCAAATTTTTCTGAGAAACACAAGTGTTTTCAATTTTTTCTGACAGATTGAAAGCAGAAAATGATTGAACTGGAACAGCTATGCCTGCCCATTTGTAGCAATATTCAATATAAAATTATTCATTCAATTTAATCTATTATACATTTAATAAAGTTATTTTCTTTCAGTTTAATCTTTTATACAAATTCAATTCAATATAATATGTTCATTCAATTTAATCTATTATACATTTAATAAAGTTATATTCTTTCAGTTCAATCTTTTATACACATTCAATTCAATATATAATATTCATTCAATTTAATCTATTATACATTTAATAAAGTTATATTCGTTCAGTTTAAAATCTTTTATACACATTCAATTCAATATAATATGTTCATTCAATTTAATCATTTGTGTGTATATGTATTTAATTTAATCCTGTAACAATATGCATTCAATAAAAATATTCATTCAATATTTAAAAAATCCATTCAATATTTGAGGACTGGGCCGAGTGCTCGGTTAGCACCACCAGACGTATGGAATTTAATATGAGTTCATACGTTTTCGTGCCATTATCAAACAACATGGCCGCCTTGGGAAAGGAAACGATAACAAAGGCTGCTGAAGTGCTTCAGCAAGCGTCCACAATGTCGCTGTCGGTGAATGAAAATTTGTTTGAAACCAATTCTCGCTCAACAGCTACCAATGCTGGTACGCCTGGAACATCAGCAGCTACTGCAATTGCCGTACCAGAGCTTTGTGATACTCTAGCACGAGCTAAAATCGGCGGAAAATGCCGGAAAATCATCATCTTCATCCTGACAAGGCTCAAGTTCAAGCAAGAAAGAAAAACCACTGCGAAGTTCAGAGAAAAAGCCGTTTGAATTTGCACTGCTTCGAGCACCTGAGGTAGACAGTGACGGTGAGGAAGAAAATAGCTTAAGGAAGGACTATGTTATCAACAGGTATTATTACTTTAACTCCTTCTGACACTGAGAAACTAATAAGAGATAAGATTGTTTCATCTTTAAAACCAAGATATCCCATGATTGAAAATCGTGACTTTGAATTTGTCAAAGTAGTCCAAAAAAAAATTTCTGTTCTTCAGTTGGGAAAAGGAACACAGTATGATTACAGTGTAGTGAAAAAATTGGCTGGGCAAGGTCTGTTGTACATTCGTATGAAGCAAGCAATGCAGTTTGCTGTTGATGAAGATATTCAGGTTGAAGACGATATGGCAGATGATCCATTTCCATCCTTAGAACTACCCAGTCCATTTAATTCACCAACAACATCACCTGATCTAACAGGTGCACCAAGTGATTGCAATCTTGTCCCAGATGGTCCGTCTGTTAGAGAAACCCCACTCGATAGTGAGCAATTTACACTATCCCCACAAGCTGTCCAGGAATTTGGACCAGCAGTTCCAGAAATTGAACTGTCTCCATTTTTTTCAACAGTAATTGACGAAATACCATCCACTGTTAGTGACCCAACAGAAATGTTAAGATTCTTGCAGAAGAAGGTCGTGACCTAGATGTTAGTGATGTATCTTCTGAACTTAGTGGGGACACGAATTATATTTCAGTAGATCACGATAATATTTTGGAAACAACATTTTCTGAATTGAATGATGTGAAAGATCCAAGAATCACTTTTGAAGTTCAGTTCTATGGCGAGCAAGCTGAAGACAGGGGAGGCCCCAGAAAGGAATGGATTAGACTTTGCAATCAGAAAATACAACCGAAATATTTTGAACAAGGTCTTAAAGAGCATCTGGCAAGTGACTATTTTTACATTGGCCAAATGGCAGCAATAGCACTTCTTCAGAATGGACAGTTACCTGTTTACATTCCAGAAACAGTTTTGCAAAATGTTTTTACAGGTCCATACCCAAGCACACACCCATGCATTTCCAACCTACAGAAAGGTCTGGATACTCTTGGAATCCATACAGTTGGTAGAAAGTTCCCACAATTCCTGCATCTCTTTAGACCATCTGAAAATGCTAAGTTGTCTGTAAAAAGGTTACTACACCTTCTGATACCAACATTTTCTGAAAAAGGATCAAACAGCCTAAAGTATGAGAACAGTCATTATGCTCATTTTGTCAATTATGTTAGAGAAGTAGCTAGTGGTCGTAGAGTAACAAAGCTGGAGAATATCCTGGAGTTTGCTACTTGTGCAAGTGAAGAGACACTTCTTGGTTTTGCTCTTTCCCCATCCATTGAATTTGTTGAAGCCACTTGTGCATCCAGGGAGCCTAGCTATACAGCGATGAAAGGGCACCTCAAAATCAGATATGACTTTTACCCCAAAATCAGGTAAGATTTTTTCCTGTTGCTGATACAGTAGTACCCTTGTATTTTTGGATATGTATCAAACTTGCAAAACAGAAACTAAAACATTGGCAATCACTATTAGTAGAGTACTACAGAGAAAATTTCGTATTTGTTGATTGGCATGTATTCTGGTTCTAAAATTCATTCGATGGTTTATATCATTATTTTGCCATTCAAACCGACATTAATGTTTAGAACTAGAATCCAAAGTAACTGAGTCTCAATTTTGTACTTTATTATTATCATCAAATTGTATGTGATGTCATAAATGCCATACTGGTAGTAATATATTTTTAAAGGTTTACATATGTGAACGATATGTATGCATGTTTGATTAATGGTTAAATGTGTAGTTCCAGAAAATATCCATACTCCCCCCCACGGAAGGGACTGGAAATTCCAGGGGATGGGGGGGGGGGGTAATTTCTTCAATATTTCCAGTGGGGTGGGAGGGTGCCAAAGCCTTGATATTTCCAGAGGGTCATAAGATATTCAAACCATATTTAATTAAAATTTGGAGCGGCGCAAATATTACGATGAAAACGTGCACGATCTTGTTAACTTGGTTTATTATTTACATAAACTATACAAATATGTAAATTGTCTGGAGCATATGTCTGGAGTTTGTTTTACAGTCGCCCTATATTTAGGTATTTGATTGACATGTTTACGCACAAGCCAAGCATTTCTTACGGCCCGGGTTTTCCCCAATTTTGAGTCTCATTTTATATAATTATCTGTAGTTTGTTGCGAGTTTATGCGGTAGCGTAGGACAGTAGCTAATTATTTGCCCCAAATTATGTACAAAAGCATGGTTTTATTGCTTTTCATAGCTTAATGGTATATTTTCCTTGAAAATCAATGCGAAATTTACAAGAATACATACTTTATTATGGCCTACTACAAAAGCGGAAGTGTGTAAGGTTTTTACTGTAAGACTTGACAGCCAATCAACATTGACCTGTTGTTGATCAGTCAAAAAGCTTTAGTTGTTATTATTAAACAAGTGACAAGGGAATTCAGTTTCAAATAAAATACCGCTATGACTGACCTTTTAGTTCATGTGAACGGCATTGTATCTTGCTCAGTTGTTTTTGAAGACACCAATGTCACGCTTGAAAAATTCCGACACGATGGTTTGACTGAACAAGTTGGTGACATTCTTAAATTTGACTATAAATTTACACGATCAATTTGCAATCAAAAGGTGACAATCGGAAATAAACAAGAAGCTATAATCAAGCTGTCGCAGTGTTTAGACAGTGCAGAAGAACCTGCCTTGTTCTTGGAAAGAAAGACGACGTTGTTGAAGTGGCCAATTCAAATGTAGAAGTTTCAGAGCCGCCAGTTAAAGTTGCAAGAATTTCGCGTCAAGCCTGAATCATAGAATTTTCCAGTGAGCCATCGAAAACGCCGCAACAGCCGTCAAAGCCTTACCCTTACTCCGCCGCAAGAATCAATGTACTTGCATAAATCTGCCATGTATATTTATATATTTGTACAAAAAAGTAAATAAAATACTGGTTGTTTTGATTAATAATTGTTTTTGATAAATAAAGTACAGTACTAGACAGTTAAATATGAGTTTTCCAGGGGGTAGGTATAAAAATAAAAAGTAGTAAAACACTGGAATTTCCAGATGGGTGGGGGGTCACTGTAGGGGTAGATTTGGAAAATCCAGAGGGGTAGGGGGGTCATAAAGGAAATCCCTTCCGTGGGGGGGGGTATGGATATTTTCTGGAACTACACAATGATTAAAAATTACGATCAGAGAACGTTTCAGAAACTTTATTATGAATCCTGGTTGCGCATCTAGCATTTTTAATAAAAATGACTAATTACAGTGGGCTTGGTCTTTCACAAAAAGACCTTTCTCATAATGTCTCATGGGACAATTTTGTGGCAATTTGTTAAATGCAAGTCATTGTAGAGCCACTCAAATTTAATTTGCTAAAAATTGTCCCTCGCTAAAAGTTGTCGCTCGCTAAAAGTTGTCTCATATTATATTTGATCCAGTGTCGAAAGTGTACAAAACCTCACCTAGTTATGGTAATTAGTCATGCGTAATTACTTAACCATTATACAGTATACTAGCTAATGATACTCTAATATTCTACATATTGGGACATGGGGCTAAGTGTTTTGGGATTAAGTGCCTTTCCATGATCAAACATGGCTTTCCATGTTCAAACATGGATTACATCATTATGAAAAAGGTCTATTGCACACATCACACTTACTCACTCCAACAGGGTATTTAGACGATTCAAAGGTTATAAAAACTATTTTGCAGAATGTTGAGGAAGAAGAAAAGGACAATGATGAGCCAGGACTAAAGAGGAGAATATTTGGAGATTTTCTTCCCAAGTCTCACACATGCACCAACATCTTAAAACTGCCAAGAGGAACACATCATCTCCAGATACCTTCCGAAGATGCACTTTTTGAACTTTATGACTTCGCATTTCTCAGTGGCTATTTTGGAAGACTGTAGTTTAAAATGACATTTTGCACTTTGGTAGTTATTGACCACAAGTCCACAATCATAATGCTGACTTGAGTACATTAATTCAGATTGATTGGGTAATTTAGATTGAACATCAAACATTAGATGTTAAAGGTTGTTTTAAAGTTAACAGTTTTGTTACTTGTTTTGTTTTATGTAGTGGAATACAAACTATGTTGTAGCACATTGCTACATCAAGGTTTGCTTCACAACAAGCATCGAAAATGGGTGTATATAGTACAGGGGGTGGGGATGCTTTGTTGACACTAGGCTTGGGAGTATAATAGTCAGGGTATTACGAAAGTCACTGAACTGTGGAATCGCATCAAAAATTCTATATCGACCGCGCCTACATATTTTTGCATGTTTACAATTCTAATTTTAAACAGCCAATCGACGTTTAATTGTAATTATTACCAAGAACCTGATTGGCTGTTCAAAATTAGAATTGTAAACATGCAAGACTATGCAGGTGCGGTTGTAGATATTTGTGGGAGTGGTCGACATACAAATTTTTTATGCGATTCCACAGTTCGGTGACTTTCATAATATATAGCTGTACTTTGAATGTAGCTTTTAAGAGCATCTACCATTCCCCTCTCCCCTATCATGTTATACCATTACTGCATAGCTTAATTTTGACATTTGAAAACCAATCAGGTTTGAAATTAAAGTGTTGAACTTTAATGGAAAAAAGAATATTGTACTTTATCCACTTTGCTCATGCTCTATTAACTGTACCACAAATTGTAGGACCTCAATGAAAATGTCAATTCCAAAACACGATGAAAGCTTCAAAGCATCAATAGATTGTGTTAATTGAAACACTAGTTCTTCTGAATTAATTCCTGGTATATGAACTGGTGCAACTATGACACAGTTATCACTGTCCTCGAAAGGTGTTGGTCCATCTAGGTCTTCCCCATAAAACCTTGTATCATGAGGGTCATCATCAAGCCCCCCAATAGCTAGTGGATTGTCTTCTCTTAGCATGCCATTAATCCAAAGTTGGTTTGGTGTCCAGTTGTGCTCAGTTGAAAGTGGGTGGTTATTAAAACTGTCCATCCACTCATGCAAAGCATAATTTATTCTTTGTAAAAACACCCAATATAACACAAACATGTGAATTGGGTTGTCTAAGTCAAGAAGGCCCGTTTGCTCCATCGCATAGAATGTATAGTAAAAAATGTGGGAGACGCATCGGAAAACATCTCGCCACAACCTTTCAATCCGCTGATTTCTACATTATGAACCTGCAATGAAACTTCCCCTTCCCTCTCCACGCATAGCAACCATTGCATCACACACTACGACATTTTCAACTCCATAATCTACTCTTAACCATGAAGGCCACAAGCCACCATCACGTTGAATTGCATCTTTGAACAAGGACAAAACTGTTGTTGCAAGGTTATTTGTGCAGCAGTGGAGGAAGTTAATTCTCCTTGAATATCTGTCAATACATCCATGGATAACAAATCCCCATCGGATGAGAGAGTGGTGACCGTCCATGTGCCACAACGAGTTTGGCCAGGGCACAAAGTACTTTCAGCGAGACACAAGTGCACCCCACCGTAAAGCTGTATTTCTGGGGTCAACCCTATTCAGACTTTCTCTTATTCGCTTCCGTTGAATGTTGTACCCAAGAGCCCGAAAATGACCTCTTAAATAAACTTCACCTGTAGTTGATCCATGTCTTGATATGTAAGCATTAATTATTTCATCAACTTCTTGGTCACTAATGTTACTAAACTTTGCTAAGTTTTGTAAGCCGTATTCTCTAACACGACGCATTACTGTCCAACGCGATACTTTAAACATAGCCGCAATTATTGTCCAGGTGAACTGATAAATTTACCAGTCATTGACCGGTAACTGGTGGTCGTTTTGAGCCCTGCTATTGGTGTTTTGTTTGGGATGTAGGATAGCTTGAACACAGACCTACTTGTTTGCACCTTATAATTTTTGGGTGGGGTACTGGGATTGTTGGACGAAACGTTATAGTGTAAGGCATTGAAAAATTAGGACTGTCAGGCTGGATGTAGGATTTTATCCTCTTTGAACTCTTGCTATGTTGAAAACAGTACTAATTCACCATGCTTGTATAAATAATGTGGTTTCAAATAATATCATGTGAGCCCTGGTTCATTTGTATGATTTTCATTTTGCACTTGTTGTGAAAGATTGCTAAACTCGCTTGTTCATTTGCAATCTTTCACGACTCGTGCATAAAAATCATACATGCTCACCAACCATGCAGTAATTTGACAATGACCAGTACGTTTTGTTTCATGACAGGCACAAATTCATTGGTGCTGGTCGTTTTGACAGGCAGGTCCCCAAAAATTATTTTCAGGCTTGCTTCAGTTCATCATAACCATCAACATGCCAAGTATAATTGGGTCCTGGCATGTGATAAGTTTTTTGTCTTAGAGTTTTAGCTCTTCTTTCACTTACGACATCAGGATCCAATTTGTTTACAAGAACCCATACAGTTCCCCTAGGGACTTGATTACCTTCCATCTGCAAGGTATGCCATATCGAATGATACCCAGCTGAGGAACCAGGCCCATCAATTTCATGCTGTATGCGTTGGGGAACGAGATTTAGCTCATAGTCATTGTTCCTTCTGCGAAGACCAAGTAATTGAAGCTTAATATTAAGTGTTCACAAATAAATTTCAAAATTGTGATATTTAGCAAGCAACATTAGGATCTTCTGATAAGCAAAGCTTTGTCAAAAATATTGTGTTATTAAGTCATCATAGGTCTCACCTTCGGCAATATGTACTTCATTGTTTGTAAAATCTGGTAACTGATGCCACAGAATGGGCAATGTTTGACTGTGACCTGCTATAATCAGTACTGATTTTAGTTTTTTATCTTTTTATCTTACTCTGCATGCTTTATTACATTGTAGTTTAGAAATACAGGACATGCATTGATAGCAGTAATTTATTACTGAAGCATTTTTATCCTGTGAAAATATTCTTTAATAAGGGAAAGTACATTTATTATGCCAAGGATGGATGAAGATGTCTTGAAAAACACACATTTTTTTCAGGGCCCCTGTTGAGGTTATTGGAAAATTTTCAAAGCCCCCCTTCAAGTTTTTAAAATTTTCAGTGCCCCCCCCCCAGAATTTGGAATTGAATGAAATTGCCAACGTATCACCTTAGGTCAGATTCTGTGACAATTTAAAAGTCGCTTAGAAAACGAATTCCGTTGCCCGGGTTCGGGCACTACTTTGAAACAAGATAAATAATTAGGATAAATTATACAAAGTCCAAATCTGCTTGTTTGCACTTCCCAAAACCTGCAGTTTTCGAGTATTTCTTCTTCGAAAATTGAAGAAATCGACATCTTTCGCAATCGATCGCCGCCATTTTTGTTCAGGATACTTGGTGTAATAAACACTCTAAATGCCGATTTTCGCGGGCTCATGCTCATTCTTACATGAAGTTTCCAGCTTAGCATTTGTAAACATGGCGTCTTCTGATTCATGTTTAATTCATTTTGATGGGAAAAAAGGCCCACTTACAAGTTTTAGTGTGGTTTCGTATCAAATTTTTTGAGATTGTCGTAGAATTTGGCTAACGCTAGACGGGGAAGAACGCAATGTTGCTCAAAGAAGTTTGCGGTTTGTTAGCGACAGCATGGAAGTAGCACGGTCGAAAATATCGATGCAAATTTCTCTTTATATCATCGAAGTTGTTACTCGGCATTCACAAATAGCAGTATGATCAACCGAGCTCAAGAGCGTTGTCAGAATATGGACAAAGAAGGTGTACCTTCATCCTCTGGTCTCCATATTATTGATGAAGAAACGGAATCAGATGAAACTCCACCTGTAAAGAAAATGCTGAGATCTACACACGTAAAAATCGCGCACAACTTGTCAACAAGATGTGTTCGCAACATACTTGTAGCAAGCTTGTCAACAAGTTGTAAAAATTCTGTTATTTTATCAAGTTGCTACAAGCTTGTCACTCACAACTTGTTGACAAATTGTTGAATTGCTGTTGGAACAACTTGTAACAAGTTTGTTGAGTTTGACAACCTTGTAGCAAGTTGTCAACAAGGTGTTGACAACTTGTCAACAAACTGGGAACAAGCAGTGCGAACACATCCTGTTGAC